AAACACACTAATCCTTTCTTTGAAATCACAAAAATAAAATAACTAGGTGGGAGTCGAAATTAGGCAGAAAAATATAAATTGTGTTACATGCGATAGTAAAAGGAATACATTATCAATGCTCACTGATCAAATAGTAGCTAATTGATCAGAAGCGAATCAATTAGTTGTATCATTGAAATCATTATATAATGGATAATGCATGTTAGTTGCTCGACGTTTTTAAACACAGATGTTTTAATAGCGGTTTATTAAAAGCAAAAGATGATTAATATTCGCTAAAGAGTTTAATTAATGTTTGATAATTATGATGTTACTAGAAGTGTCAAGTAGATTTCGAAATGGTTTATGTGATGCCTTTCCTTTAATAAATGTAAAACACTTGGTGAATAATCATCAGAGTTTAAAATCTAAACGCAGAAGATTAATATTCGCCAAAGGGTTTAATTAAAGGGCGAATGGCTTTATTTTTTTCTATTTTTGGGAACCTAAAAGCACATATTAATGTAATATTAATGTATATATAGAGTGATTTATATTCAATTTTTGAATTTTTAAATGTAAAAAGTCCAAATTAAACATCAGTCGTTTATGCCTGATTAGTTCGTTCTGCGTGGTTTTTTTTAAATTTTTATTTTGATTTTATCGTTTGTAAATCAGCTATTACTAATTACATGTACTTCTACATTGTCTTATGGGATATGCTTTTCTTTGTTAACTACAAATGGTACCTGAAACCATAGAATACACGACTCGTGTACTAATTTTAACATGTTCATTACATCTTAAATATTGGATATAAGGATCTCACATTTTCCCGACAAGATAACAACAACAATATTGATTGATATGAACCAATATTAAATTTTAATTCGTGTTTTTAATTTTCAGTTTTATAGAAAAAATTGAGTTACGGGTTTAGCTCCTTTAATGTTTGATTATTATTATGTTACTGGGGCTGATATTTATTATCCAACTGCATTTTAAAATATGCAATGCTGATAGCAAATGTATAATTAACAGAGTTTAAAATATATTTTATATAAAAGTTTCAAGGGGCGATTTTGTGGGGTGCGGAGATTTCCAAACTCCGACCATAAATTAATTATACCAATTCGTGAAGGACTATGGTATCGTGATCGACTGCTCTTCCACAAATTTCGTTATGTTTTGGGTGTGCCTAGTTCTTTTTAAAAGGTCCATCTTTGTGCCAACTTGATTTACTTGAAACTGAATTCCTAAAATCTGACTATTCTTTCAACGAACGGTTGTGAGGGGTGTAAGTGCATATGAAAGCCAAATTTCATGTACAAACGTATAGACCAGGAGCTACCCCCCCCCCCCAGACGCTACTCATCTTTTTTTGTTGTTCTTGTGAGTGACGCTCTTCGAAAAAAGCCTAAGGTTTTGACCCATCGGACTTATATGTCCCAATTCCGAGATGGAGGTGATGAGGTCATGCCCAGTTCTTAATCCAGTCAATTGGTTGCATTAACATTTTTTAAACATTTTAAATCTATAATATTTGTTCATTTTGTCAAAGTTGACACCGGATTTGAATATTATGTTCTAATTCGGACATTAATGGGTTAATTGAAAGTATAGGGAACGAGTGATCAGTATACTTAATAATATTTTTATACTCATCATTTTTATTAATCAAGTAATACCTAAGTGATGAGATTTGTATTCGTTCAAGAAAGTAGGGAACGAGTGATCAGTATACTTAATAAACTAATACCTAAGTGATGAGATTTGTATTCGTTCAAGAAAACAAAAATAAACCGAAAAGTGGCAGGCCATTTATCAAAGCTTAATCACTACTTAAACCTCAGGTGGTACTTCTGCTTATAGCTTTAATTATAAACAATAATTATTTGAGTGATTTTTGTTTATACCTGTGTTTGACACAAGTCATGGTACGTCTGGGGATTATATGGCACGCATGCGTATGTACTTTTATCGGAAGTTAAAGAGTTTGAACGCATTATATTTGGGACCATTTTGTCGGCAAATACCGCCTTGCTCCATGAATAAAATAAACAATTGTGCATTGGCATCTATATAGCGACCATCATTATTAAGTATAGGAACCTCTAGTAGCAATATTGTTCTTGGTCTTGTGGAAAGGCCAAACATTGACATTTAATATCTTCAATTATTAAATCTTGTTCTTTCGTTTCTTTGAATGTCAGGTGAAAAATTCTTGATCCGTCTGTTCTGAAGTGAATTTTAATCATAGTTAATGCTAACATCCGTCGATCTGCTGAATTAACGGAACAAAACTTTAATTTAGTCGTGAAAGCTTTCTGAATACATCTATATTTTCCCCGGTGACATTCGTATATTACAATGCGTTCGTTCGAAACATTCGATCTGAAAATAGTGTTTGACGCATATTACTTAGTTAAGTGTCAAACTAACTTTAGAGTTTGTAAGCAGAATGATATTGTAACGTGATTAAAGCGCAATTTTAAAGGGACTATCCCGATTTGAACAGAGTCTCAAAAATAAAAGTCTGAGTACGTATGAAATTTAAGCACCAAAATATAGAGGAATGGTGTATTTACCTTGTCTCAAAATTTCAGCTCAAAATAATGAGTTGTTTGGACGTGAACGTCAAAATTCCTTATCCGGACATGTAACCCTTTTAAGAATTTGGGTCAATTTTTTTCGTTGGGTGACCCCCGTTCCTTCACAGTTCTCTACAATGAATGACCCATGTGCTGTACTTGATAACGAAAGGTAAATTTCACCTACATATTATTTTTATAAAATAAAACACCGCATAATACAGCTTGGGACACCAGTCTCCATTTCCTGATAAAGACTGGCGGGTTTAAGTTGTTTGAGAACGTATCATATATGTCGAGTTAGTTGCTCGGCCCTAAGGTAGAGAATTTTAGGGTATTTTAACACAAAATTAAGCAATTTAATTCTTCAAAATATTATCGGGATTGGCCCTTTAAGTCAAAAACTCGTTATTTCTGTAAATACGACATTATTCCGAGGCAGCATAACACAAGATCAAAGATATTTGAATCACATGGCATGCTTTCTCTGTAAGAGTGACGTCATTACATAGTTGATGAATATTTGAACAGAAGCAGATTACCTATTCAATAAATGATAGTATATTTGCGTGGCGAGTGGTAACAAATCGCTATACCGATAAGAACTTTGAGATACGGATTTGGGTTTATGAGAATACGCTTCCTCGTATATTTAATGGTAAATGACTTCCCTGTCACTTTCACTCAGACAAGTTCAAGGGGAGATTTCATTTATTACCCTGCAGTCTAAGGCCAGTAAAGGTATTGCATAGTTTTGGTTCGATTAAAATTAGACCATTCTTTGGTTTCTGTTTTGTCTTGTTTACATTTACATTTAACAAAATCTTTTAGACGTTTGTGTTCAGTTGACCTAAACCAACCTTTCATGTAGTCAATTAACCAAAGCTTTGTATTGCAGGGGCAGCATTGTTTTTAACTAATTACAGGGGGCTAAAATTAGACTTTAAAGAAAAAAAAAATTGATTAAACAGTATATGTACCTAGATTTTCATGTAAGTTTATGCCACCAAGTTTAAACCGAATTGAAAAAAAATCAATGTTTATAATTAAGACGGGCATGCATTTTCTTATAGAGAATTCAGTATTCACAGATCATAAAAAATAGTCTGTCAGACCAATTCCGTATTCGTGTTCAAGTCATTTTGTTATGGAAGTCCTGCCCCAATGTTTCCATGTGTTTCACTGACCTCAAGGTACTTTCTTATCGTGTGAACTCGGGCAAAGTACTACAATATGTCAAACGAAAATTACATGTAATACAATATGTTAAACGAAATTTCGGTTTGGTTTATTTTGTTTGGGGAGATCCCAATGTCGATTACCGATTTGTTTTTTTCTTAAAATTTAAATCTTGTTAAGAATTAAAAATACTAACACAACTAAATAAAAGAAGCATTAAAATCCATCGTTCTTGTTAACGGAAAGGAAACGGTTATGATACCTGGAAACTTTTTCAGATCGGACGCATCGAGATCCTGAGATCCAATCATTTTTACGGTCGACAGTTCCCACAGTGTATAGAACATAGAACGCTAGATGTGTAAAAATGTGGATTTCAAGTGTTTTCATTTATGTTATCGGTATCATGGCTTGTATGCACGCCAGCCCTTCATAATCACATTTTTTTTCAAGTCAATTAAAAATCGATACTTACAATAACGTTTCGTCATAAATCCCCCATAAGTATTAAATTTCATTTTTAGTATCATATGACGAATGGTGTGTATCAGATTCCTCGTAATATACTATCAATATTAATTAATAATGAAACCAGATATTACCGTAACCAGAAACTGTTACTATGTGCTACTTTTAGAGAATGTATGACAATCAATCGGGGTAGATTATTATAGATTTAAAAGCAAAACATGACCGCCCACAACGAGGTCATCGCTGCGGCTAATACAAATTTAATGGGGGAGTTATTCTGTCTTACAGGATACGGGAGCCACGGTGATTCAGTGAGTAAGGTGGTACCGGGTTCCCGGTGAAAAGGTTCCTCGGTATTTCCCAGTGTATTTTTCCTTGTTAGTGATGCAGGGCGGAGGGCCTGGCAAGGAAAGTAAGCTTCTAGTCGCTTCTAAACCGACACATTATTTAATAGAAAGTAAAACGATCCTGTCTATTACAGCTTTGCCATTAATATATTTTTTTCTAAATTATTAACGCGATGTTCACTTTGAAGTTAATTTGTGATAGCATATTATCATGTTGGGGAATATTCTGATTAATGTACTAAAATTCTAACAAACGATGGTATTGTGTGGTTACTTGTCTAATGTATTGTGACATCTATCTAACGTATTTGTTTAAAGCCTATTATCCATTTTAATCAGATTGACTTCATTACCATTAATTGATATGTACAGGAAAGCTATATAAAGTCATTGCGCATGGGTACTAACTGGCACAATTCAATCAGGCACTTACCATCAAAAGATACATTCAACAGAAAGTCCTTCAGGAGTCGTTCTCCATCAATTCGTTCCATGGCGCGACACAGTCGGGTCGTGTTCGGGCATAAAGTTTTCTGCATTGTATCCAAGGCTATAGCTAACGCATATACCGCGTCATAAATAAATTGCACTTTGCCTTCCTGTTGGGTGATTTTTCTAGTAAGTTTTTCAGCCCCCGTGCAATATCGAATATTTCTGGATGTTGAAGTGTACTTGTTCTCTTTCCAACTACATTTATTAATGGCCTCCCAATATTCGCGAAACCACGGGTTACGTTTATTCCCTCGAGGGTTTAAGTTCTGAAAATAACTTTCGAATGTTTTGATTGGCGTTGATTGTAGTTCTAAAGTTATTGCGCCTTGTGCTGCCAGTTGATTGTCTTTCACAGGAGCATCTTGTCGACCCCATGCGTCACTGGCGACCCACACATGTTGACCTGTAAGATTGAACCGTGTTGCGGCATCAAGTAGACCTTTCGCATCCTCAATTCTAACGAACACAATCACAACTTTCGCCTCTGGCTTTTCTAATAAATCGCGTATAGTTCTATCAAAAGTAGCATTAGTTGATTTGGCTGGAATTTTAACATTTGCAGCTATGCAGATATTTTTAGCTCGGGCTTCTTGCTGGAAGTAATCTATACCGGATGACCCATACTCGCCCTCAGACGAGACTGTCGACACGTAAGTCCAATTAAATTCTTGAACGATATCAACCAAAGCTTTAGCTTGTAATGTATCCGGAGGCACTGTACGCAAGAAATAGTCGTAACGCGTCTTATCACTAAGCGAAGCACTGGTAGATGCATAACTCACTTGTGGAAGTTTAAATAACCTTAATAAATTAGCCACCTGCATAGAAACCGTACTGTATGATCCTCCGACGACTCCGGTCACTTTAGTTGGAGATAACTTGGCTGTAGCTTGTGATCCGTCCGAACACACAAATTCTGAAGTATCGAGAGAGTAAAATGAGGCTCTGATGAACTCAAGAGATTGTTCTAACGCATACGTTCCTCTAGCACACGTGTCGTAAAGAGATGCGCCGAGATGTATCCCCGGTAATATACTGGGATCTCGGTTGATTTCATCAATTGTAAAAAGCATAGCTTCAAGGCGTTCGATCCCACGGTCAGTATTTATTTCTCCACATGGTTGTTCGCCAATACCTTTGTGATGAACGGGAAACAAACCTCCAAGAATGATATCCCCGGCAAGGAAGGCGGAGGCGATGGGTTTTGCGCTTCGGTTGTTAAAGGAACTGGTGCTCTGAAACATGATGGTTAACAACACCAAGATAACTTTATAAAGATTGTTGATAACTCCACCAAAGCTGCCGTTTACCATGTCTAACTGTGGTACTCCCATTCTCCCAATACACATCATTTCAGATTTACCCCACGGAAAGCCCTGACATGTTTCAAACCATTGCTGCTATAATCACTGATTTGCGTGGCTCAATGGAACCGAGTACTAATTTGCCGATATTCTTCTGCAGCATTCTGCGATCAATTCTGAAACAAGAGAGAGAAGAACTAGCTAGAAGAGACATAGTAGATTGTTAAATATTACTACAGTTAATACTACTACATGGTCAGTGACCATCGATTAATATAAAATAGATGAAATAGGGATGAAAGTCTGGAGGCAACCGACCAGCGAGCAGGAATTCTTCCGTTCGGTCACTTATTAAATTCTGCCAGTGATCATCTATGAAGGTTATAAGGGGTTTTGTGTTAACACAGAGTGGTGCAGGCTTAATTAGATCTAACATATGTAACCGCTCGTATGGCATCAAACAAACGCTTGTTTGGCGCCCTGAAATGAATTTTGGTATATCTTTATTTCATTGAAGCCTTTCCTTGTCACGATAAAATCATTCTGATTTATTACTCTCGCAATTTGATTTATGGATGGCTTCTGGAACCGCAAACTAATGTATAACCCCAACGATATTACTCACTTGAAAAAGACGTACAATTATTCAAATTGATATCATATATTGTATGATAGTAGTGCTCGTCTTTGTAAGAAGCTGTGAAGACCTGATTGCTTTGCTTGTAATGTGATCTAGATCTAGTACTCGGATACACCTTTAGGCAGTAAATGTTAATAATTCATAGCCCTGTTATTGTAATACATATAAAATATTTCACTCCCTATAGAAACTGTTCTTTATGATCGTTTCTGACCCCCTTAATGATTTCATGAATGGCTACGGCGTGTACTCTGCTTTACTCGGTCAAATGGCATTTCATTTTTATTTTGTTTTAGTATTGCCAATGTCATCGAAACAATGTATGATGATACTAATAGTATTGTGTATTATATTGTGCCTATTCCAAACCACAAATGAACGTTCACTGTTTTTGCACTTTTAAGTTTGAAAGGCAACGTGTTCCGTTCTCCCAGAAATAAATAATATACCATGTGAGACCTAGTTAATAATGAGGGCGACATTAAGCCCCTCTAATCATGTATGTTTGGTGATTTAAGTGAGCAGGTATAATTGAATGGTCGTAGATTGCACCTGGTTAGTGCAGCCTATAATGGGTGGCGGTGTCACTTTCACATTGACGTTTTGTCTCGTTCATCAAAGCGCATCATTACAAATGGCGCTAGAGAGTGTGAGAAAATAACGACGTTGACTGTTTTTAAATGGTTCATTGTAGCAATACCCTTAATGTTTGAAATATGCCAATATTAAATTCTAATTCGTGTTTTTAATGTCGGAGATTATGGATATTATTGAGTTAGAGAGTTCATTACTTTAACTTTTATTCGGGTATCCCGGGACTTTAAACATAGTTACGCCTATATATTTAAGAAGTATGTTTAACGGTTTAATAATGGCAACAATTTTTACAGTTTGGAGGGGAATAAAAAACTTGACATAATGTATATCAGTCAAATATCTTTTACAATAACGAAAAATCGCCTCTCATTCCATTATCGATCTTTAAAATTTTTATTAGTGAAAATTATTTATTAGATGTTCATAACCAATCAATAAAAATTAAATACCCAAAATGTCTTCGAACACGCAAATCCGCATTAAAAAAGAAATGGCTTGCTGCAGATCAATCACTTACGTCATCAAAGCTCTTTGCACATCAAAGATGACGGAAATGAAAGTCTTCGCTGCGGAGATTGAAATTTAATGTTCAAAACATAAGACGATCAAGGAGATAAAACAATGGTGGAAAGCTTTGTTAAATCCTAAATACAATCTCTTTTAACTTCCTTAAACGAACAGAAGCCTTCTTAATTTAGGTCAAAATAAAGTGGCGATCTGGATTTCGATTTGAGATACGAAGCGGGAATCAAAATTGATTATACACTGTCATTGCCTACTTTTAGGGACGTAAACTTGTATCGTAAAAAAATAAACCCGGATTATTGTCTTCTCTAATTATTTCATACAAATGATTTCATAAATTAAGATAAATATGCGGTTGTAGTTCAGAATGTTAACAGTGTCACGATAGTACTATAGGAAACAAGAACCGAACATGACGTCATCGCTGCCATCTTAGAATTGTGACGCCATATAAAAAATCGATGCACGACACTCAATCCAGATATTACTTATCCGGGCATAACAACATTTGGGCCATGATACGTAGCATAGTTATAGTTCTATCTTGTACTGATATTGATTGGGAAATGACATGGGGTTTAACGTCCTGACCGGGATAATGAAGACGGTTCTTGATTCGGATTGTATCATGCTCATTGGTGAAAAGGGATGGCTTGTTCAAGCATGCATAGCATGAACTCTAACAACATGTATATCTTCTTTAAGTGAACTGCATTTTTGATATAAGTTAATGTCGGTGATTACTTAAGACATTTTTTGTCTCCGGAAAGTATAAACGCATACATTTGAAAGGCAGCAAAGAAATGTATTTTTACAAAACAGAAACCAAACTCTAGTTTCGAGATATGATGTACATGATTGGGATTTAAAAAAAATGTATGTATTGAATGATCAGAAAGAACGAAGAATTTCCTTTCAGCCAACTTCACTTCCTGGATCCGATAAAAGAGACTATACGATGTGCTGCTTTTATTTTCTCCGACTTCACAAGTGTCTTAATGGAGTGACGAACTTTCAGATAATATGAGCAAAGACATCTTAACCACCCCGTCGATACACAAATGAATAATCATACATCAATACACTTAGCTGATCACGGATATTATTCCAAGATGGCCATAACGTGTTTATCCGCATGAAAATCTGCTAAAATATTTTGTATGGCTTCAACATAAAAATAAGATTGCCATAAAGTAAAGGAGAGAGTGTATGTCTGTCTGCCATAAAGACTCCATTTTGCGTCATAAAAAATGTTAGGAGCAATCATTGCTGTCTGATTACAATACATCGTGCAATGTTATATTGCAGTGATCTGGATTTCTGGGACCCTCACGCCGTAGATCTAAAAACTAGTCTCTTAAATACAACATTTGCCAGATTTTTTTTATACTGTTTACGTTACTCTAGACATTTTTGTTATAAGATTATCTTATTTCGTCTTAAGAAAAGAAAATCTCATTAATATCCCCAATGAATAGACAATAATGCCAGACACAGATGAAACCTAGAGTGGACCAAACAAACATGAATACAAAGATCAAACAATAGATCAATTTTTCTTGCTCAAAAAAAGGCAACAACTTCACTACTAAATAATACAAAAAATCTTCCTGAGATCTTAATAAAGTTATTTTATGAAATATGCAGTGTGTCTTATGGAATTTCACATTTGCAGTCTATTTTCTGTTCTTTTGATCATATTTGGGATAATTAAAGTCTTAAGTCGGGGCTTCAGTATATTCTATATACCACTAAAACCAATCTGTGGTATCTAAAAATGTAGATAAGAATTAGACGACCCAGTTAGTTGTACCAATTTTCATGTCTTAAGAAAAATGACAGTAAAATTGTCCTTTTCTAAATTATTAAATAACCGTAGAGACATATTATTTTCAATAAATCGGTATAAATTAATGTCAACACGAAACTCACTTAAAATATGAATGTGATGTCAATCGTTAGACATCTAATACAAAAGTCAACTCTATCAAATCACCACGAAGTTTTCAAACAATCCATCAAAGATGGTGAAATAATGCTGGTTTTGTCTGCAAACTAAAGCAAAAGCTACTATACTTGTACACCTTAATTGTAGATTAAGTGCCGACAGCCATTGAAAGAAGAATCGTTAAAAATAGTTCTCTTAAATTGCAATGAACGTTATCTTGCAGTTAATAATTTGATTAAAGAAGACTAGATCGATAGATGATTTATTTGAAGAGGGGAGTAGCATGCCTTGTTCACGGCATGTTTCCAATTTGCTCACTAATTATCACATAGATTACTTTTCCAATCAATTAATCAAACTTTTCTTTCCCTAACTTCAGACATGAAATTTGCATTGCATATTAACAATAGATCGTTAGTGATAATAGACTTCTCTGTGCTTGTAATATCATCCACCATCTCAGAAGGAAATGTCGGTGAATAATATAATAAATTACTAATTAACGATTTATAGGAAAACAAATTTGCTATTATACTATAATGTAAATATACATATTGACTGTCTCTATAAATATATGCACGATGTCTCTTATTTCTGATTGGTCAGTTGTGATTAATTAATACTCTCTCTACTACCGTTGTGTTAGGCTTTGGTGGCTATTCACTGCGGAACTGGGGAACATCCCGTACAGAGATTAAAGCAGCAATCATATTTAGTAAAACGACAATTCAAATGTTAATTTTGGTTTTAAACTAATATGATGTTAACCTTGTTATGTTTGAAAGCATTCCTATGTTATGTTATAAGTTCTTGTTGATGATACGTTAATTTAAAACGAAAATATGTATCGGTTGCTGAATTTTTGCTCCGGAATTATTTCCCCTTTATCAATCGCGATATTATAAACCCGATTCGTTAAAAGGTCAAAAAAAAGTTCAGAATTATATTTATTACGGAAGTTTAATATCATATAAAGCATATATAATTATTTTTTTAAAGAGAAAAAATCATTAGTTTTAATTAAATGAATTTGTATAAAGGCAGCGCTTTACGATGGCGTCATTTATGTAACTACGTCATTTTACGTCTCGCGTCATCGAATCATTATGCCGCCTGTTCTTGGGCTAGATCTATTTGTGCCAACTCAATTTACGTCAAGGTCGCTGAGACCCCTGTTCTTGTATGAGGAAGGCGATACAATCAATTCTATATTTAATCTATATTGTGGGTTTAAAGAAGGTATATGATGGACCCCTAACATAATAGTTGCTTTCAAAATGGTAATAAAAACACAAATGACATAAATGTCGCTATTTTCTAATGAAACGAAAAAGCTATATTACCGAATGATTTCCGGATAAGTCCGATTTACGGAAATTATCTTTCAGATATTTTTCCGTATACTATTTTAAAATCAGATGCAATTTCACCGATTTCTAAATAAGGTACATATAAAGGTCACGCTA